AAAAATTTCTCTAATCCCACATTGTTAGAATATCTTTTTGGTTGAAAAAAACCATTTAGTCCCACATTGCTTATGTGAGAAATATTAACTACCTTACTTCACTATATAAGGAGTGCACATGTTTTATTCCAAATTACACCAAAAACTATTCTATTAGTTTTTCCTTCCTCACTCTCATAACTCTGCGTCTCTCGAATTGTCGAAGCGCCATCTTCTTCCCCTTTCTTCCTACTCGTTGAATTTTCCGAGTATTTTTTTGAATTCTCTTTAGAGAATTATGTTAATTTCTTCTCATTTGAGTTGAGAAATTTTCAAGTATTAATTTTTTGGATTCTCTTTTGAGAATTATTTGAATTTCTCTTTGTTGGAGAAATTATTATGAGTGGTCACATGACCGTTATTAAATTCTCTTTGGAGAATTATTTGAATTTCTCTTTATTTGAGAAATTATTTTGACTAGTCTTTGTACCAGATACTACGAGTGGTATTGATACCATATTTGAATGGTCATGTACCATCAGATTGTGTATTTCTAGACCGATTATCTACCATGCAAGTAGTAATTGTACAATATAGAATTGGGTTATTTTATCCTGAAGGCGGCGCGATAGTTCGACTGCTTTATATAATTTTGAACAGTGCCGCGAAACGTCTTATAGAGAACGACCTAGTCCGCGACTCAACCTGATAATTTCTTCAGTTGTAAATATTTCAAAATCCGAAAACAACAATATTTTATATGAGCAATATATTAAAATCATTCAAAATAATATTTTATATGTAAATAAAAAAAATTAAATATTTAAAAAATTTAACGGTTATAAATTTTATAATTCATCGAAATATCAATACATTTCAATTAAATTCTTGTATAAAAACATCTATACATGTGGTAAAGTGAAATATATTTCAAAAAATAAAATTACTTGGATTAATAAATAAATAAATAAATTGAAATGGACTTGAGTGTTTTTAATTGAACTAAGGGGTCTAAAGTGTTCTTAATTGAACTAACGGATTAAAAAAACATGTTTTTAAAAGATAAATCTTCTTCCGAATTTTTTAACATATCTTATGTATTTTTAAGTTTTAACGCAACCCTCAAAAATATGTAAATGCTCTTAGATTTCAGAGATGTATTTTTGGACGCACCAATTCTTTATTGAATGAATAATTATTTCAGAGATGTATTTCTAAAATATTATCGCATGTTTATTTCCAAAATTTTGCATAGCATAGACCATAAAAACAAAATGGAAAAACACTAACTTCACAAAATAGAAAAACACCAACTTCACAAAATCAAAATATCATCGATATCATAAAATAAGTAATACATACTGGATTTTAACATAGATCAAACATTACACTTCAATATTCATATGAATGTTGCAACATCTTCATAATATCATCGGTCGATCTCGAAATAGTTGCATCTAGCTCGATCGGAACTTTTGATTCCAAAAGGAAGAAGGTTCTCCACAGAGCCCTTAAATCAGCGATCGTCTTCAGCTCATGTTTGCTAAAATTAAGCTTTCATTCTTTGTCAACAGATGGTGATCGGTACCCCGGTCTTCACAATTTTTTGATTGTCGCTATATGGTAGAAGGTCCTGCAATATATATTGCAAATTTTCAAGAGGGGTGTACTCAGTGATCTTAAATTCTCATGATGGTGTATTGTCAATAAAGTGAACATTTCCAACATGCCAAATAATGCTCATTCTGGTTTTTATGTGTTTTGGTATGAAATAATATGAGAAGTGAGCTTACTTAAAATAGTGGGAGGCTAATATAGACCTCACAAACCCTATCTTATCACCGAGAATGTTTCAGAAATGAAACTCCGGAAACACCCTTATTCATTTTCTGGAGATATATTTCTGGAATCTTCCTTGTTATAACAAAACAAAAACAGAACAGAAATAAAGGGGTATATTAGACACATAAGCATATTTCAGACACAAAATCATAAGCATATATCAAACTACAAAATGCATATATTTGACACCAAAACACATTAACAAAATGTCACATACAATAAAAGGATAAATAACTACTTAAATGAACCTAAAAAATTGTCGCCATTTAAATCTACAGGTGGTACCCCTTTGAGTTTTCTTTACTTTTTTCTATTTCAATGTAGCTCAATTTAGAGTACTCTTGCATCCTTTCAATAAATTGGTCCTACCAATTCTCGTATTTGATTGTATAATGAGCAATCCACTCTGCCGATGTAGGTGGCATAGGGCATCTCAATTTCAAATACACTAGAACAAAATGTCACGAATTTGAAACCCAACCAACATAAATGATACGACCATTGAGATTTAGAGGTGGAGCAGTGCGTAGTGGGAAAAAGTTTTCTAAGAAATCGTATCTTGTAAGATTAATACACACTCTCTCATACGCACTTACTATGAGATGACCAGTCTCAAGAAAACACATCCATTTTTCCTCCGATACAGGTTCCTTAATGCAAGGTACAAGAGTATGATAAATTTATTCAACTTTATCTTTATTCCCGAACACCCGTGTGTATAATTCTTTATTGTTTCTCAACTTTTGGATAAGAGTATGGTAGGCTAATGTGTGATTCTCTTTCCCTTTACCGAGTAAACCAGAAATAACTTAAAATTCGCAGTTACCGTCGACCCTGACATTAACGATCTGTTCAATGTAATTATGCATAAAAGCTAGCATTCATTGCCTCTCTACGAATCTACTGTAGCATGTCATCATGAAATTCATACTCTTGTTCATTTTTAAAATGGTTCTGAATATCTACCACCTTCTCTAGAGGTGAAACAACTTGAGACACAATAGGTTTTGGGATATCATCGGGATGCACCTTACCTAATGTAAAAATAAACATATAAACAAAGAAACATCCATAGCAAGAATACAATTGTTGGAAAATCAACATAGACATATACCGAAAATGTATATCTGGACGAGTTCATTGTGTTTTATGAAATATACTTCTGGTATAAGCGTGATATTTTTTCCTAAGAAACTAGATTAATGTGATGAATCAGAATGAGAGTTGAAATGAATGATTTGAAAATATACTTCCATTGATGATTTGAAAATTCACAATCCACTTATTCTTTCTTTTTTCAAAAGAATTTTGAATCTTTCTTGAACACTTGCAAATGATTTTTTTCATCTTTCATTTCATTCTTTTTTAATTTTGGATGGATCTGAATCTTATATTTGAAAATCCGTGATTGATTAAGGAGATTTATTTTGAATTTAACGTTTCTTTGAAGATTTTGGTTAATATTTCAGAGGCTTGCAAGGTGTGTGGTGTTGTGACTAGTTCTGACAATCCAACAAAAAAGAAGGAGATTGTTCTCTTCAGATTGATCTTGGTAGTGGTGTGTGGAAGACTACAAACAATGTATGATTTCTTCTCAATCTTCAAATAGATTAACATTCAAGATACCAGTGGATTTGAGTAAATATTTCCACTGATAAAAACTTAAGAATAGGTTGTTGGGGCTGGAAGATTCAAGAAGCAAATTCGAGTAAAGATTTCACATAGAGTTTAGTTCCTGGATTTGTGTACAAGTAAAAAACATCTAGAAAGAAGAAATTAATTTTGGACTAGTGATTGTACGAACTCTTGTAATTTTATTACAAATCATATTAGAAGACCAACGTCCCAATGGAGAATGAATTAAGCACAAGGCGAGGAAGAAGTTACTCGATTTTTCAAAAAATCGGGTAGGTCTTATATGTTAACGGTGTTTTAAAAATATCGGTATTAACTCAACATGATTTTTTAAAAATCCAATAATTATGTTATGGATTTTTCAAATATCTGGTATTTATTCATCATTTTTTCTTCAGAATTTCATGAATTTTCAACGACAATTTTCAAAATGTCATGTATTTTTGCATACTTTTATGAAATGTCCGATAGATTTGCAAAATATTTGAAAATTCTTCATCCAAATGATAAAATTTCTAAAAAAATTGGTATCTAAGTCAAAAAAATCCGATATTTACCTAAACTTTTTAAAAAAATCAAACTTTTTGAATAAAAACATAAATGTAATTGTAGCCCCTTATTGGGGTGCCAGGTGTAACCTGAGAGGTTTCAGTCAGAAAAAAACAACGATCTTATTTAATTAATTATATTAGTTATCGTTGTTTTAAAAATATCGATATAATTCAATATGATTTTTTTTTAAAATCCGATAATTCTATTCTGGATTTTTTAAATATTCGGTATTACATCATATTTTCAAAATTTTATGAATTTTTACCGGTAATTTTCAAATTGTCAGGTATTTTTGCATACTTTTATGAAATATCCGATAGATTTGCAAAATATTCGAAAAATTTTCTTATGAATTTTTACCGATAATTTTCAAAATGTCAGATATTTTTACATATGTTATGAAATATCCGATAGATTTACAAAATATCCCTAAAATTTCATCCAAACAGTAAAATTTCCAAAAAAATTTGATAACTACATTAAAAAAACGGATATTTACTTAAAAGTTTAGAAAATCCAATTTTTTTAATAAATACATAAGTGTAATTGCAGCCCCTTGAGGGGGTGCCAGGGGTAACCTGATAGGTCTTGGTCAGGAAAAAATCTCGAATGGATTGTGTTGGCCCAAAAATCAAGCCCATGAGATTTAATGTATGCAACGCACGGTTTTATGAGGGCTGAAAAAAGGTGTCAATTCCAACAACACACACAAATCTCTCTTTTTCTCAAAGAATTCATTCCTATTGCTCTCAATCACAGTCTTTCTCTGCGTTTTCCTCAGGTTAATCTTGCTAAGTTTCGTGCCACCTCGTTTTTTCTCAGTTTTTTTCTTCTTTGTCTCTCATTTTTATGCATGAAATCGAAGCCCTTTATATGTATTTAAGCGATTTTTGGTACATAATTTCAGTAATACTTTTCTTATTCTTCTACCCTAAACCTTAAATGTCGTAGTACCTTTCTATTGATATTTTTTTTCTTGTTTTTCAGCAAACATGGCAGATGAAACACCAATTGATTTGAAGGAGGAGGTTTCAGATGTAAGTTTGTTTTAACAATGCACTGTGTTTCTTTTAACTGGATCCGATTTTTCTGTAATCAGGTTTATTTGAATTTGGTTGTTATAAATTCGTACTTTGGTATCATATAGTGATATTCTTTTGTTTAACCTATACCATTGTTGTAAAATTGAGATTGAAATTGTGAATTAGTAGACTTATTTTCTGAATTGGGAATTGATTCTTACATTTAGGCAGAGTAGTCAATAGTGATCAATAGCAGCCAATAACAGTGCTATCCTGCTATAGCAGATCGGAGCATGCGCTATGAGAAGAGCCTTAGCGGTGCAGAACACTGTAGTGACCGCAATAGGGTAAATAGCGGGTAGCGGGGGCGAAGCGGTTCTAGGCCACGAGCGGTTTCTGTCCCGCTATCCTTTTCCCTCTGAAAAACCGAAATTAACCCTTAAGTTTAAAAGGTTTTAAGGGTAATTTTGGGTTTTTCAATCCAATTTGAGTTGAGACTCAATGCTAACCTTCCTTCTCCAACATTTTAAAGAAAAATCACATGTTCTTCCCTCACCTCTGTCTACACTTCGTTCTTCCCTCTTCACTTCATATGTTTATAATTATCATTCATTTAATTTGTCCAAAATATGTTCAAATAGCGGACATCCCGCTATACGCTATCCTGTTATCCTATTTTTGGGGTTGGCCACTCCGTGCCGCTATCCGGGATTGACTACTATGCATTTAGGTAGTGATTCGTTTAGTGAATTGGCATTCATCATAATGGATCTTAACTCAAGATGAGATTCCTGTTTAGAATATATATGTGCTAGAGTTTTGTACATGTATAGTAAGATACTGATAAGTGATAACCAAGATTGGTACTTCTGTTTGTATTAACTGTATTATCTTCTCGGACATGAATTGCTAAATTGCAGATAGCACCATTTGACCCTACTAAGAAGAAAAAGAAGAAGAAAGTTACTGTTATAGATCCTGCAGCTGATGAATCGGTGGATAAGTTGGCCCAGAAGACAGAAAATCTGTCAGGTATGGAAATTATAACAAGCATTAGCAATCTTTTGTCATGGTTTATGTTTTCAAAGTTATCTTAAAATGGTGCTTAGGCAATGTTGATTCTCATTAGCTATTCACTTGCAGTTGCTGATGAGGCAGACTCTTCATTTTCTGGTTTGAAAAAGAAAAAGAAGAAGCCTGTGAGTCTCTTTTTTCCAGAGTTCAAGTTTTTTTTTTTGTTGCTAGAGTTGTTGGGAGCAATTTATCTCTTGAAGTTTGTTATTTGATTTTAGGTTGAAATCAGTAACTTAAACGAGGAGAGTGGAGAAGCAGCTGAAGATTTGGAAGGTAAACAGTCAAATAAATATAAACATTTTTGTATTGATAGTGGACTGCACTTTGTTCTTGGAAGGGTAATGAATTCTAAACATTTGGTGGAAGTTTTTGCCTTTAGATCTTCCTGAAGAAGATGAAGAAGAAGTGGTTTCTTTGCAGCCTCGTTATCCTTGGGAAGGGAGTGACCGTGATTATGAATATGAGGAGGTGTGTCTTTTTTTGTTCTTTCTGATGTACAGCTATATTAACCTATTCCTTTCAATGCCAACGCGTCTCTAGGCTTGTCTAATTGACTGCGGTTTGGGCCTTCTAATGGGCTGATGTTAAACGTCTAGGCTCTTGCGTTGCGTGCTTATATTTTTAAAATTGAAGCATGTTAATTTATGATCAACACAAGCCTTATAAAATATTTGATCGGATTCTACATTTTTTGGTGCCTTAACCTTGTTGGATCAAGCCATTTCACTTTGTTTGGATCATGAGTTGTGGTCAACATATTACGTAAAGCATTTATCGTCTACCCTGTTCATTTTTCCCTTTGAAGTTGCTTCTAATTCTCCTTGCCTTTTTTCTCTGGTGGATTCTAAATAATTTTTGGTACAGCTTCTTGGCAGGGTGTTTAACATTCTACGTGAAAACAATCCAGAACTTGCTGGAGATCGTCGAAGGACAGTTATGAGGCCTCCTCAGGTTCTTCGTGAAGGCACGAAGAAAACTGTATTTGTGAATTTTATGGATCTCTGCAAAACGTATGTTGGCATTTTATCTGTTTTATTTTTTTGCACTATACACATCCTTCACTTCAGGCCAATATGCTTGGAAAGTAGCATTTGAGATATTTCTATCAACCCAGCGATTCCTTTTAGCGAATGATTATTATTGAATATTAGAATCCAATTTTTCTGTCCTAAATGCTTGCCTCTTGGTGATGTTATGTTGCTCAATCTCTTTACTGTCATTCTAATCTTTCAGGATGCATCGACAGCCAGACCATGTTATGGCTTTCTTGCTTGCTGAACTGGGTACTAGTGGCTCCCTAGACGGACAACAAAGATTGGTTGTTAAGGGAAGATTTGCACCCAAGAATTTCGAAGGAATTCTGCGACGATATATTAGTAAGTATTTGTTTCCAAAATATAAAATTCTGCTGTATTTCAAAAATGGAAATGTTCTTGAGCATCAAAATTCTGTTATTTGTAAGGGTATTATTAGCCTACGGTTCTTATACTGGTTGTTGATTGAATTTGTTACACTTTTTTCTCAGATGAATATGTTATTTGTCTTGGATGTAAAAGTCCAGACACAATACTCTCAAAGGAAAACCGTCTCTTCTTTCTTCGGTGCGAGAAGGTGAATTTTCTATTACATCTTTGTCTGCTTTCGATGTTTTACCATTCAGCATTCTATAATACTGGTGTATTGCTTGCAGTGTGGATCGGGAAGGTCAGTTGCTCCAATCAAAGCTGGTTTTGTTGCTCGTGTTGGCCGAAGAACTGCAGGGTCATGATTCGGCACTACTTTTTATTTCTGTTGAAACTGGTAGTATGGTGATGCCTTCTTTTATGGATAAGCTTTGTTATCCCTTTTTTGGATTGAAATGTTTCCTGATAATTGCATATTATTTGAGGTATTTCCATTTAGAAAATAATTGAACTGCAATTTTTGGGGTTTTAGTTAATGGTTTGTAAAGGAGCATGTGAATATGACTAGTAACTACTAGTAGCTTCTCTCTTTCGAATTTTCACTCTATTTGTTTTCAGTTGCACTATTTAATCAACTAAAATTTGACTCTTTTTTTTGTGACAATTTCTCAAGTGATTAACAGCACAAACCATGCCTCCAATCACAATCATATATTTGCACTCTGTTCATTTTCATATGAACATATATTTTTACTGAGAATAATCTGAATTACCACTGCACTGCTGCTAATTTATTTTCATTAATACATATGGAATTATCTAGAACATATGTTTTTTTATTGCAATCAACAAGAACATATAATTAAATATGTGGCCATGCAATAAAATTGAAGTGCTGCCATATTTTTGAAAAGTGTTACACACCAAAGGTGGCAATGAAGGCCATTGTCATAAGTGTTGAAATAAGTGGCACATAAATTCTCCCATACAAACTTGTGGCACTGTTAGGATCCTTATACTTTGATGTATCAAAACCTACATAATCAAAAGCACCTAAAAAAATTAATCTTGGCACCAAAGATTAAGAAATAATCAACTTTTAAATGTATATTTTTTATGGTGTTACCTTTAAGTTCATTGCATGCATTCATAGTAACATTCTTGACGAAAGAGTAGGGTGCTTTAGTTGCAAAATAGAAGTCTCTGTTGACATCTTGAATGCATTTGAAGATCAATAATGTGTGATCATAGCAACCACTAGTACAGAATTCATTGATTTCAGAGTCTTGCACGTTTAGAGTACCATTTAGTGTGATTATGTAATTTGTTTTGTGGTTGCAAGCATTTGATTGCTACATAGATTTTGAAAAAAAAATTCATTATTGTATATGTGTAGTCAAAGATAAAAATATGATTTAGCCAAATTTTAATCATAGGATTACTTATTTTACCAATTCAATTTCATTCAAAATTATGCCTAAAAAATTGTTTACTAATTACATTCATCAAGCAGAAGTAAGCACTCCTCCAACTCTCAAAAGGGCTTAGATTGACATTTCTTCTTGGTTGCTCCCAATCTGAAATGAGAGACATGAAAAGTTAAGTTTTTTTTCTTCCTTCAAATTGTAGTTCAATAACTATTTGGTCTCTAAAAAGAAAGGAAAAAACACCATAAAGGACTAAAAATGGAAGAATTAAAACTGTGAAACAAAGGAATACTAACTTTCAGCATTGGTGATATTGAAAAGCATGAGAAATAATAACCCCAAAGAAATGCAAACAAGGGAGGTGCTATTAGCATTCTTCATTATTCCTTATTGATCAAATTAAGGACACTTATGTGAGTGTGTTTGTGAATGAACTCTGTCTTTGCATGATCTATGTTGTGTATACAATGGACACTTATTTATATAATGATTTAGAGAAACATTTGTTGAGATTATAACTAAGAAAAATATTGTTGTTTTAGGCATATGCTTAGAATATGAATGGATACAAACAAGGGAACATTACATAACAAAATGGATGGTTTGCATCATGACAAAATGAAACATATTTTGGAGCTTTCTGTCGGAAATTAAGAGGTGGAATACAATGATTGTATCGTCCTAGGGTAACATGGATCTATCAAGTGTATTTGTTCAAATTGTTTTTGGCTCAAATGTTCAATTTTATATTCCATAACTATTTTTACTCTCTTGCTGTTGTCTTAACACCTTGTATGTTTTGTTCAATCCAAATAGAGAAAATATAATCTTTTATTATAGATAAATATTTATTTTTTAAATTTATTAAAGAATTAATACATTTAATTTATTTATATTTGAAATTAAATATTTTATATATTTAATAAATTTAAAAATAAAATACTTATTTATAAATTTTAAATGATCATAGTAATTTTTTTCTTTTTTATTGTCTTTCACATTAAAAAATTAATAGTATAATTACAAACATAATTTAAATAATCTTTTATTTTCAAATAAAAAATTAAATATAAACTATTATAAAAATATAATTTTATTTCTAATATACACCCACGAGTTAAAAATATAATACAATAAATCAATGAATTATAACTCAACTCAACTAACAAAATAATAATCAATAACAGTTGATCAAATTAAAAAGATTCGTTCATATAAATATATCGAAAGGAAACTTTTGTATATGCTTTTGCTGACTGTAGTTCTTTCGAGTGTGGTTTGTGGGTTTATGGAAAATTTCTCAATGCATATACTAAGTATTACCCTAATAATATTAAAATATGGATGATCAAAGATTACAAAGTGAACTCCTCTTGGACTATACATATACATATAAATATAAATTGTATTAGTTAAAACAATTAAATATATTATATGGAAAACAATTATTTATATATTATATATAACACAATAATAAAATAGAGATATGTAAGGTTTAAATTTTGTTTTATTTTTTATAAGTTATAAAAAATACAATTCAAATAATATAACAGAGACTTATTATTTTATAGATTAAACAAAACACAACAGATATCAAAATAATATAATTAATTTATTTATAAAGTCAATCAATAATTAAAAATTAAAATTTAAATAATATAATAAATTATATTATTAAATATTAAAAAAAGGACAAAAGGTATAAAAATTATGTGTCACTTTAAAATAACTGCATATTCTTTAAGTATAAGATTATTCTCATTTTAGAAGTTGAAATGATAATTATACTTAAGGTCATGAATCATGAAGATCAATATATGTTTTATTATATGTTTGGAAAAAATATATTAATGTCATAAAGTAACTCCAATAAAAACGTTCAACACTGTAAAATAAAAATATTTTCTAGAAGCAGTTCTGACCACATGACTTTCGGTTGGAATATCTTCTAACCTAGACACAAACATAAGCAACTTTGGTAACATAGCTAAGAAAATTATGAGTGCAATTTGAAGGAGATAAGCTTTCAACAGTGTCTTCAAAGCGATGATTTTCACAACTGATTTTAGGAATGGGAGAAGTTTCACTAAATTCTTCAGAGTCGTAAACGTGATGAGAATCGTATAAAAGAATATGGCGAGTGCAACAATGAAATACACCATGTACTGTCTCATTTGTCTGTGAAAATACTTGATTTTTAAATTAGGCCACAATCGAAAATCGACCACCTATCAACCGTTTGCACATGTAAACTCTGAGAAGCAGAGGTTGCAACCACCCTATTTGAGAAAAAGATTATAGCATCATTTTGTTGCTTATCTTTGAGCGTAACCTTTTGCTCAGTTTCCAATTTCGCAACCAATTCATTAGCCTTTTCATTGCAATACTCTATGTTGATCACAAAAACCAACATACCTCCCAACAGCATAGCCAATGATCCCAATTGACATTGAACCAAGAACAATGCCACTCCAATACAGTACTTTTGTTTTGTAGGAAAGTTATACAACCTTCTAATTTTTACGTAAGTCAGACCTATAGAAAACATGAATAATTTGTTAATATTTTTTGTGAGTTATATCATATTTATATGCACTAAAACATGTAACGGGGAGAAAAAACATCAATAATTTAGTATTTGTTGTAGACTAGACAAACTATACTTCACCAAATCAACATCGATACAGAAAAAGAAGATCTTTTCAAGACTTGATTTCAGCATTTCATTTCTTAAACTACAAAGGCCTCCCACATTGATATCCTTCCCCAAGGGAAGAATTTTCTCTTCATCAAGCAATCCAACATGCAGATAGAAAACATCATATGTTAACATTTCAGCAAATCTCACATACCCAATATCAACAATTTCAAAAGAGGTCGAGTCAGAGAGGCAAAATTCCAAAATCAAACTTATAGTGACTAATAACTTACTAGATATTCATGCCCAAAAAATTCTTGCAAGAAATAAATATTGAAGTAAAATGCGGAATTTAAAGAGTTTAAGGGAAGAAGAAGAACACCAAGAGTTATATAGGTTCAGTTAAAAACGACTTAGTTTTGTCTCTGAGATTTGATCTTGAGAGTTCCAGTTAAAACTTGAGAGTTTTTAGTAGGAAAAATCCACAAACTCCTTTATATAAGAAAATATGGTTGTCCTACAATATTGGAGTGTATAGAAGACATCTAGTAAAATACCATAATGTGTCGTCATTTTTCTACTGATATCTTCCATCATCAATATACAACTATCATAATACAAGACAAAAAATATGATTGTTTGCATCTTCTCTATTTAAATTGTTAAGACTGAATTTGTCAAACTTCCTTTCTAATGGTAGATTAAAGAAATTAATCTTCTCTCTACAAAATGGTACTTGTATCATATAGTCTTCAATATCCACAAAAATAACTAAGTTCAATTTGACAATGAAACAAGAAGAGATATAATTCAACAACTCATAAATATAAGTTTAAAGGTTTAAGGGAAGAGACCAAACTTTATTGTGCAAGAAATCTTGTAAGATAGTGTTGTGATACTTTTGGATGAATATTAAATTTTCTAGACCAGAGGAACATCTATCCAGCCCTTTAACCAGAAGTTAATCTTCTTACATCACCAAAAAGCCATTTTGAATTTTCTATAAGAGTAGAGTAACGGTTCTTGAGGCCACTCCAAAGAGAAGAGTATATATATATAATATTTTAGCTTTCAAACCTCTGGAAAAAATATTAACCAGACTAGCGTTGAAAGTAAGGACCAAAATTTAATTAAAATATAATTAAAATATAATTAAAATATAATAATTTATTAAAATTATAAAACGACGTATAATTATATAATATTTTGAGAAAACAGGAGATACAATTGACGGTATATTGTAATTTTACACTGTCATCTAATGAATAACATGTATTTTATTATATTATATATAATTTAAAAAAACTTAAATAATTTGATAAATTTATAATTTTTTATTTAACAATTATATAAAGTGTTTTTTTATGCCGTTAGTGTATGTCTATAAAACTTTAATATTTTTAAAGAAATCTTATAATAAAAAATTAAAAATTTTTTTTTAACAAATATTAATTAAATATTCCTTTAGTTTTGACTCTAATAATTCATCATACTTAATTGTTAGATTATTATAATTAATTAAAAAAATATATATTTATAAAAACCAATAACTTATTTTATATTAATACTTAAATACAAATAAGTTTTATCCTCATTAATTGAATCTTATGTAAACAATTTACACTCATATAACTCAATTAATACATAGTTGATCTATGGAGCATATTCAAATAATTATAATTAATTAAATTTTATTATTTATTATTTAAAATTAATGTAATATTATTTATTTATATTATTGAAATATTTTATGTATAAAAATTAAATTTATTAAAAAATAATTTTACTTTACAAATTAGTATGCTTGATTAGGAAAACGCCGCGTAATACAGTTTGAAATTTGAAAGTTTAATGGAGGCAATTAAGAAAATAATAGAAAATTAGTTGGAGTAGCTAAGCTATAGAGACATAGCTGGAAGATGATTTAAACTCTTTATTGAATCCGCGTGGCAGTTAGTGAATTCATAGAGACATCAATCATGCCATTTTTTAACTTAAATGTTTAAAGTAAGATTAAAAAGAATCAATGATATACCAAAATATAAGTAAATATCAGCCAATTCTATCATATCTAATATTCAATGATATTACTTCTAAAACACTTTTCAATTGATTTAAGTTTCATTTTTCAATAGTTTATTTTATTTTCATGACATCAAATCTATGAAAAGATGTTTTAGAAAACCAATTTTTATGACAAAAAATTAAATAGACTAACTACTATTTTTAATTAATGTTAAAACTATTTTGTTATTGTTTTTAATAGAAATAAAAAAGTGAGTGTGAAAAGTGCTAATACAGTTTATTCTAATAAACCATGTTTTCAATTCTTAGTAGTATCTTATGGACGGCAATGATATCACATTTGTTTATATTTTAATTCACGCCCTTAAACTCCGTTTACTAATTATATTTTGAAATTCAACGCGGCAAGATGGGACCAACAATTTTAATAATTGAGATATTTTTCAATAAGAAAAGGGAATAAACTACATTCAACACAGAGATTGAAAATGTGATTTTTTAAACATAATTTTTTTACTATGTTGTTTGATAACTCGTAAACATAATATTCTTAAATTGTTAGAGTAATTAGTGTTTTATTATATAACTAGTAAAAGATTTGCGCGTTTATATAAATGGTATAAAGTCGATATAAATATTTAAAATATATTATATAATTTAGTTTAAAAATATATATAAATTAAAATAAAAAATATTTTAATGTAATAGTTGTTAAGATATATATATATATATATATATATATATATATATATATATATATATATATATATATATATATATATATATATATATATATATATATATATATATATATATATATATATATATATATATATATATATATATATATATATATATATATATATATATATATATATATATATATATATATATATATATATATATATATATATATATATATATATATATATATATATATATATATATATATATATATATATATATATATATATATATATATATATATATATATATATATATATATATATATATATATATATATATATATATATATTATGTTAAAAAATATATGAATATATGATATAATACACTTCACACGCGCGCGCGCAAAAACACACACATATATATATATATATATATATATATATATATATATATATATATATATATATATATATATATATATATATATATATATATATTCTGTAAATTTTAGATACCTTGCATTTTAGAATTGATTTTGTTGATTTTAAAATAATTTATTTAAAGAATTATTTGACGAATTTGTTTGACATTTATTTTGTATATATAAATATTTAATATTTATCTTATTTGAAATTATACATTTAGTATAATTATGTTATTTGAGTTTATTGTTATTAAGTTTTATACAATAATATTTGTTTTTAATTATGCAATTTGTATAAATTCATAAAACTTATATTTTATTGTGAGTTTGTTCTCACATTAAGGACCCCTGAGTAATCTTATGATTAGGAGGAATATGCCACAAACTTACGGATCCGGTCTTTATTTTATGAGCAGTGCCTTATAAATTTAAGACTTTTCCCATTTAATTTATTAAATTGTCTAGTAATTTTGATTCAGTTGGTTGAAACAATAAGCTGCAACAGTTGGTTGAAACAATAAGTTGTAAAAGTAACCTCGATTGAGTATATTAGATCCAGTTGAATTTATAAAAGATGTAGTGTATAATCATTCATGCGGGTTTTTATAGTCGGTCAAAAGAAAGACACAGTTTAGTCGGATAATTGCATACATGTGATGGTGAATATGTGGTAATTATTAAAATTTTTCCATGTGGATAGTGAGACGCATATTATGTGAACATGACTTATTACCAATCTTTGATCATTATATTGAGAGTACAGCTTATAGTTAATTCTAGAAATCAAAGATTGTGGGTTAATAGTACGTTTGTTATCTTATTTTTTTCTTATAAATTTACAATTATAAATGTGCATGTCTCTGTAATAATTTATTGACATGCCTAATAAAGTTGTGTGAACATAAAATCATTAAAGCATTCAATAGACTACATTCATATCTATAACGGTAAACATGTGACAATTATAAAGATTTATTATTTATCAATATTAATTGTCATTGTTTAATCATTGTAACACATCACTAACAATTGATGTTATTGTCTAAATAATTGACATGAATGATGCATTTGTTATTTTGGCGAGTACATTTTTTGTTGTTCTCTATAAACTAATATAGTTTATGTATATGCAAAATAAGTTAGATTTTGATTTTCAAAAGTTCTAATTGTTAGGAATAAAATATAAACATTATATTTTTGGATCTATACCTTACAAAATGATGGAATAACTCAAAATCCCTCACAATTTAGTATATTTAATGTGAGACTCAAATTTATAAGTGAGTATACTCCAAATTGCACAGTTATATGATTTTAAAGCTTTACAATCCAGAGACATTAGAGGTGTTATTTATGATGACATAAATTTTGTCATATTATATTTGTTTATATTCTAGTGCTTCTAAAGCAATAAAGTGAAAGACAAACTCTCATTGGAGTGATTACTTTTCATTAAGATTATTAAGCAAAGAAAATATCAGAAGCGTATTATAAAATTATTTAATTTTGCTAAAGCGCAACAGTTTCGTCAATTAAGTGATTTTTTGAAAAATTTAGCATAGGTATTTTCTTTGTACAATTAAGTTTATAACTATTAAAGTTAAAATTATTCTTTAATAGAATAATTTCATAAAGTGTGCAATAAAGAAAAGATTGAAGTAAGATAAAATAAAATAGTATTCATTCGTTAAATACCTCAAAGGATAAGGGCAACTAAATAATAATAAGAAAATATGATCTGAACTGATAAATATTCACTGATATTTTAAGATACATTAATTTAAAGAGGATAAATTTGGTGAAGATTGATATATTTTTAATTTATTTTTAACTATTTTAGATTGTCATTATAAGCTCAAATTTGTATTTAAAAGACAATTTGGTGAATGGATAAATTTTTGTTTTAATATTATAATTTCTTTTTTTTCAAATGATGAATTCAATTTATCTTTTAAATTCAAATATTATTATAGTTAATTCAGTAATGACTTGTGACATTCTAGATTTGTTGAAAAATTTGAGAAATATAAAACTTTAGTTCCAAGTAAAAGAATATTTT